GAGTGTATCTAAAAGTCGAGGGTCGAGAGTATAGGTCGAGAGTCGAGAGTAAAAGTCGAGAGTCGAGAGTAAAAAGTCGAGAGTCGAGAGTAAAAAGTCGAGAGTAAAAAGTCGAGAGTCGAGAGTAAAAAGTCGAGAGTCGATCGAGAGTAAAAAGTCGAGAGTCGGCAAATTTCATCAGAAACAACAAAGTCAAAATATTTTTAACCACGTTCAACACAATCTATATATAGCTTTACATATAGCCATTCCGTAACAAGTACCAACGGCTGAAATACAAACTTTCCAATAAATATTGCTACAACAGTCAATAATAATAATAACGTGATAACAAAAACAAAAAAGGTTGGATAAGAAAATAATATCGCATTTGATGCCTCAATCTTGCTAAATGTTTTCACATGTCATTTCATTCTAACTGACACATAAACTCCGCTGAATTTTGACAGCCATCTCCAGGCATGTAACTAAAATGTCACCTATTCATTAACGTACGTTTATATCAAACGAGAGCGTATTAAGAAATCCACGTTGATCACAATCTAACGATTCATACAATTGTGAATTCATAAATACGAGCCAGTAAAAATAGGATTCTTTTGTCGTATGTGTGACTCTATCGGGTGGTAATATGTCTCGCACGTGATTGTAAAGTCCTAGTATTTATATGTAGCTTCACATATGAGTAATTTTTCGCGGAAATAGGTGCATGTAAAAGCGGGAAGGATGGACAGTAATATATAAGGAAGCGATAAAACTAGTTATTTATAGATAATAGTTATTATTATTGAATGTTGTGGCTAAATTTTTGAGAAAAGTTTTGTTTTATTGAGCTTACTAATTATGTTTCGCAAATATTGTTTGCTTTATGTTCCGATACACAGGAAATGAAATTAGTTCAGCCGTCATAGGCGTACGGGCGGGAGCCAGAAAGAAAATTTACCCGACTTTTACCCACTGAATAAAATTTTCCGTGTAACTAAATTTCCAAAATTGTCGTTGGGAAGTAGACAAAAATATTTTCCTATTTGTCGATTCCTCGTTACTTTTACATATTTCTGGTATTTTCAATTATAAAATAACATGTATATAATGCGTGCTCTGATTGGTCGAAACCCGTGTTTGGATCAGGCCATCCAAACACGGAAGACTATCGTGTTGTTGTTATTTTATAAAACAATTACTTTATGGTTTCCCTGTTAGGATGGTATAATACCATATTGCATGTACTGTCTTCTTTTTAAATTTATTTCCCCCAATTTTTGCCCGAACTTATACGTTTATAATTTGCATCACTTTATTTTGACTGGGGGGCGGGACTGCCTCCCCTCCCCGCCTCGCCCGTACGGCTATAATCAGCCGTTGTTATGGATTGGTTGTATATTGTGTTAAAAGTATTTTGACTTCGTTGTTTCTGATGACATTTGCCGACTCTCGACTTTTTACTCTCGATCGACTCTCGACTTTTTACTCTCGATCGACTCTCGACTTTTTACTCTCGATCGACTCTCGACTTTTTACTCTCGACTCTCGACTTTTACTCTCGACTCTCGACTTTTACTCTCGACTCTCGACTTTTACTCTCGACTCTCGACCTTTGCTCTCGACTCTCGACCCTCGACTTTTAGATACACTATCGCGTCGTCTTTGCTAAACCTCTCTATTATCCGTTCAGCAACGACGCCGGATCAATCGGAACCAAAACTTTCTACTGATGGCGCATGCACCGATTTTGTTTTGTTCTGATCCAGTCCGATCCGCTACTTATTTTCCGGAGTGGAAATTAGCCTTTATAGGCTATAATTTCCACTCAGGAAAATTATCCGTGGATTCGAACAGACAAGAAAATTTTTCTTTGTCTTGTGAGCTCTGGGTTGGAACTAATGACTTTAACACAAAGAAAAATGTTCTTGTCCGTTCTTGTCCAATCCACGGATAATTTTCCTGAGTGGGCCTTAGTACATGACGACTCGTACGTATTATTTAGCTGCGGGGTGCTCCTTACAGTGCGAAACAAGTTGTGTGCATTTAGCCTGTACAATGCATTACGTTACGAGTCGACTTGTAGCAAGTCTATTATTACACATGCAGTGTGAAGTATATCGAACACAGAGCCAGAGGTTCTGCTCGCAGTGTATAATAGACAGGTTCAGATTTGACTTCCACTACCGCTACCACTACCTCTCACTGACTTAGTACGCATCTGATTGGTTAATCGGATATATCAAACGTATCTGATTGGTTGATGATCCGGTAATAGGGACCTTAAGCAAACAGGACGGCAACGCGACGACGACGGCTATTCACACAATGATATTCCTGATCTAGTACAAAAGAAGTGAATAATTAAAAGCCCCACGGGAGTTAGAGACGTTGTGTTAGGGCTTTTTACAACGGCAAACCAGAGATTTTCACGTCTCGTGTACAACGCAAACATGTCAAGACGCGACAAGTGAGACTGTAAGGACTAGTCAGCATCGTGTAACTGTAAGGACAAGGACATGAATTAGGTATTATATATTAAACTGTTAGCTCAGACAACCTGACTTGTTTGTTTACAATTATTAAGAACGATGGCAGAGAGCCTTTAATTTTTGCATAAACTACATTTCTATGACTATATCACGAATACTATTTTGAAGCACACATGAAAAATCACAATATTTATCTTGTTCATAAATTAAAATCATGCTAAAGTTTTCTGGTATAATCTCCACATACGGGAAGAAGCGACTGAAGCGTATGCATGGACATCAAGTGGGTTTTACTATACTAATTGTAAATTATGTTCATTGTGATGTTACCGACTCTGAGTGTCACTATATCCACACCGGGCAAGCTTAAAAAATATGCCTGACCACGGTGGGAATCAGGTCGATTCAGTCGAGTATATATCGAAGCCAGCTTGCCCGGTGTGGATATAGTGACACTCAGAGTCGAAGGAACTGAGACTCGAAATATCACATACTCGAACCGACCTGACCGCGTAGCTCAGTTGGCAGAGCATTGGGCTGGTATTCCAAAGGTCGTAGAATCGATCCCACCGTGGTCAGGCATATTTTTTAAGCTTGCCCGGTGTGGATACACCGCACTCAGAGTAACATCACAAACATCATATATTCACCTGAGTACATAACAGTTAACACCAACACAGAAAATAGTTGTAAATTGTAGTTGTGTACGGTATAGTTACCATAAAACGCTTTATAAAAAATATTTTGCATTTTATATATTATGTAGCTACATAACACACGTACTATACCTTTGCATAGGCCACAACGATATTTCTTGTTGCTGTGTAGCAGTGTTTGTTTTACATGAACACTCGTCAGACTTGATGCACTCAATTGTAACAGCCTCGACTTCAAACATGGCAAAAAACGTTATAAAATACAGGATACGGACTATAAATTTCACTTCAAAGAAACCATCCATCTTTATATAAAATAGTTTTCTCAGTAAACCCAAAGGCGCTCATAAACAATTGCCGACAATTATGAGCACGTGAGATGTTGCATTACTCGGAATTACGGCTCGAGGGTCTTGTTTTCCTGGAATCGCTACGGGTTACAATGAAAACCTCAAAATGAAAATGCATATAATTATGCGAAAAGTACTATTTGAAACCTTTGAACTTTTACAGTTGTTATATTTTGAAGTCTTGGAATTATTGAATTTGCTAGCAAGGGCGACGTTGAATTGCTAGGACGCTTGTCGGTGTACTTTCATTTTTGCGTACTTATCAAATTTAATGTCCGTTTAGCGATTGACCACATCCGATCCGTATAAAGTCAGATCACAGATGATCAAATATTTTTATACATTGACATTGTTGAAGAGATGCAAAATCCTACAATTTTATTCAGTTCCACATGCAGATAACAGGTCCAAACCGTCCAATGAATGGCAATGATTGAAGGAAAAGTTTGAATGACTCAAGATGAACTTGATTTCAATTACAAAGAAACAGCATCATTTTATATGATCCAGTTTTTATCCGCAAATTTCAGCAGTCTTCAGTCGATCGGGTCAGCTTTAACTGCAAATAATGTGGTCGACCGACGATGCTCCGCTTGATTTTTGACATGCATGCAACGTGGGATGGGACATTGGGCTATAGTCCTTATGAAACCACGATGAGAGTGCATAAGAGACATAAAGAGTGGATAGTAACGCGCGACATTGCCCTTGGTTAGCCATTCTTTAAATGCTTTCCCATGCAACGCTATCATGTATTCTATTTATGTTAAAACAGAACACTCATCAAACCTTTATTTTGTTAATCTAGAATAAGAGAACTTAAAATATCTTCAGTAACGTGTGACTGCTATGATTCTTATCTTATCAACTCTCATCCTTGTCTGGCTGGGGCTTAATTAATTAACACTTATTTACTGGGAGCGAGGGAAACAGTATGTTTTGTGGACCCGAGACCGTCGATAATACTGCTTTCCCAAGGTCCCAGTAAATACGTATTTTATTAAATATCAATAGTCAAAGAAACAACAAATTAAAGAACAAATGAACTTCAAACACTCGGTACCACAAGATACCACCACACTTCACGCCAGGTCATGGTGGTATCTTGGCATACATTAAATCTGACCTACCTGCTAAACGCCTTCCTGAACTAGAAGAGGAAGGAAAAGAAGTGCTCTGGCTATTATTAAAACCACCCAGAACACCGAGACCCTACAGTTCCGTCATTGTAGTAGGCGTATACTATCGGAAGATCAAAGTAAAGAGAATGAACATGAGATGCTGGACTATACCTAACTCAAAAGATGGGCATTGCTTTAGCTGAGCGTCCTTCTGCCGGCATATTTGTAACTGGGGACTTCAACAAGTTGGACTTGAATCCTTTGTGTCGCCGTTTTAATCACCGGAACAGGTCAAGTCGCCCACGAGAGGAAAAAACATTTTGGACCAGATACTTACCAATATGTCGGATCTGTATGACGAAGTTCTTCACATCCCCCCTATCGGATGTTCCGATCACCAATGTTTGATCTTACCACCCAAAACAAGACAGAAGATGCCCCCCGTTTCAAAGAAATGTCGACAAATGAAACCAGAAAACTTAAACGTTTTGGGATTGAAAATGAATCTTGAGAACTGGGAGAAAGTATATTCCGAATGGGATGTGGATGCATGACAAGGTCTCTGTCTTTAACTCTATCGTCATCTGTATGCTTGATGAAGCCATACCCGTGAGAACAGTTCGCGCACACTGTACGGACAAACCGTGGATGACCCCCAATATCAAAGCGTTGATAAAAGCAAGACAGAAAGCATTTACGAAAGGGGAGACACCGAAGTATAAAAGTTTACATGCAAAAGTCACCAAGCTGATATCCAACGCTAAAGCTACGTACTACAAATCCAAGGCTGAAGGCAGCCATCAATCCAATCCCGCCAAATGGTATAAAACGATTTACAAGCTAGCGGCAGCAACCGAAGATCAACAATCTCTGTCCTCGCCTGACCACGCTGACTTAATGGCAATCGCTGACAGACTACAAAGAAGTTTTATTAAGCCTGGGCAAGAAATTCAACCAGATACTCCCAGACTTCAAGCGGTAGAGCATTCGCTCAAGGACAGCCTCCCACCCCCAGGGGCGGATCTAGGGGTAGTCAGATTAGTCACGCGACTAACGTAAAAAAAAGGCATATAAAAAAATTTGGACTAAGGTTTTTGAATTTTTTCCCAGCGCAAACACTTCTCTTCATTTCTGATCACGCGATCAAAACTCTATCACACTCCAGCATATAAACTTCGATCAGTTTTTGCACATTGAGCCAGCGATTGATTAGTCAAACGATAAGTCAAATAAGCGGTATTCAAATGAAAATTGACTATTCTGCGTTTTAGTTCATGTGATTTGATTGGTCAAATTTGGTCAGATTACACATAACAGGCATGTTGATTGGTCAGACCTATTTTGACTAACGATTGCGAAATTTTGACTATTTTGACTAATTCTGCAAATAGATAGCCGCTTCTGATTGGACAATTTGCGCAAAAGAGTTAAAGAACATCTCCTCTGATTGGCCTTCTAATCTTCAATTTGGAAGCATTGTGCACTTGCAGGCGGTTCGCAAGAATCTAGCTAGTATAATAACTATGAGATTGGTCGGGAGGCGCAGTATTTATACTTGCCAGATTACCAATCTCGCCAATCTGAGTAGCAAACAAATTATACTAGTGCCAGACTACCGTTTATCAATATAGCGCATTCAATATGGCGACGAGCAAGCAGTGTTATAAATATTAATGACTTCGAGTAAATAAATCGGACTATTAAGTGTGTATATGGCAATAATTTTTGGCTCGCGATATTAGATGCTCTTTCTGCTTGTTGTATTTATGGTAAAAGTGGTTCCCTGTGAAGATTGAAAGTCAAAATTGGAGAGTTTTTAATAATACGCGAGTATTGGACATATATTTTATACTTATATATAGGGCTATATATTTTCAATATTTTGAAAAATCACGTACCATGCCATGGAATAATGGATTAATGGTTTATATACAGTAGCGACGTTTATATGGACTATGTGCTGACTATTAGTATCGACTGTATTAAACTGGTATGAAGTGTACATATCGAGCTCAAACAGCAAAAAATATTAAAAATGCCTGGCCAGCCTGGGTGAAAATTGCCTATCAAACAATGTTCATTATTAGGGGCTGTTTATATGTACCGGCATGGGCACACATTCAAAAATTGCGGGGGGGGGGATGATCTGGGATGACTTTCCTGTTCTGGAACAGGCATTTGTAGCTATACGTTAGCACAGAAATAGAGGAGTGCAATAAAACTGGGACCAACTTCTTGTGATTTTCAAATCCCCCCCCCAATGTACACCCCTGTGTACCGGGCTCATTTGGCCACAACAGAACAGCTACACTGACTATTTCATTCAAGATTATTTCCTGCAAGAGTTAAAGTGAGCATGGATATAAACAGCCCTTGAATAGTTTTCCCAACCTTTCCAATATTTATAGTATCACCTATCAAAATTTTTCTGTAATGTGATTTACAGAACTGCTTATATTTTTCAGATAATATTTGTATCTCTTAGTACCTACCACAGCTGTCTGCTATTATCACTACTACATTGGCACTGAGCACCAAGAGTATAAATAACATGTATTCATTATTCATTGTGAACACATTTGACATGATGGTCTGCGAACTGAACAAAAGTCATTGTGTTCCGTTGAATTGTGCCCGGCAAAGTAAAATCGTCTGCCATTAGACAAGTAAAAAAAATAAGTAAGGCGCACTGGGGCACATTGCAGCTCAATGGATTAATTAAGTTTCCATACAATATGGATAAGCTCATATTAAATGTGCAACAACGATGAGTAACATGTAGTGAATTTAGTTAGGACAAAGGATTCTGTCTGTGGTGATTAGTACAGTTCAACATCAAACAAAGGTCTTCTTCAACCCAACTAGTATAATTACTGTGGGATTGGTATTATAGTCTGATTCAGTCATCCAGATATAAAAAATTAAAACATACATTTTGGCAAGATTCCAATCTCAACTAGTATAATTACTGTGGGATTGGTATTATAGTCTGATACAGTCATCCAAATATCAAAAATTAAAACATGCATTTCGGCAAGATTCCAATCCCAACTAGTATAATTACTGTGGGATTGGTATTATAATCTGATACAGTGATCCAGATACAAAAAATTAAAACACGCATTTCGTCAAGATTCCAATACCAACTAGTATACTGTAATTACTGTGGGATTGGTATTATAGTCTGATACAGTCATCCAGATACCAATAAACAAAACATGCATTTCGTTAAGATTCCAATCTCAACTAGTATAATTACTGTGGGATTGGTATTATAGTCTGACACAGTCATCCAGATACCAATAAATAAAACATGCATTTCGTTAAGATTCCAATCCCAACTAGTATAATTACTGTGGGATTGGTAGTATAGTCTGATACAGTCATCCAGATACCAATAACTAAAACATGCATTTCGTTAAGATTCCAATCCCAACTAGTATAATTACTGTGGGATTGGTAGTATAGTTTGATACAGTATTTCTTGACAGGATTTATAATACCAAGGACAACGTCCATACATGTTCCACGAAAATTGTCTACTTTTGCCTTCCTTTCACTGGACATCATGGTCTACATATCCGTATACAACTTAGTAAAGTTCTTGCTTCTGTTTATCCACATATTTCCATACGTGTTGTTTTCCGTCCCTCTTGTCGCCTTTCTAGTTTCTTTCCATTTAAAGACAGGATTCCCATTGCCCTGAGATCACATGTTGTGTATCAGTTCACGTGTCAATGGTGTAGCGCATTGTATGTAGCCCAAACACGCCGACACATTCACACACGTATCTCAGAGCATATGGGAGTCCCGCCTTTGACTGCAAAAAGAACGCTCTATCTCAACCATGTCTAGTATCCTCGCTCACAAACACATGCACAAACACCCAGTCTCCGCTTCTGATTTCAAAATTCTATCATCAGGAACTTCTGAGTGGGATCTTCTTATCCGTGAAAGCCTATTAATTTCTCAACTTAACCCTGTCCTCAATGCTAATATTAGATCTACCCCTCTTGAGTTATTTTAGTTATGTAATATTAACCTTAACTATACTAACCATGCACTTAACATTAATCTTTACTTATTAGCAAGTTGTTTTCCTTTCTTTCTATTCATTTGTTCTTTCAAACTATGTGACCGTTTTTGTAATATTAAACCATTATTTTGTAGATATATATACCATACCCTGTAAATTCATTTAGATTGCTCTGAAGATGTTGTATTGTAAACAACGAAACGTTAGATAATAAAATTTTTACTTTTATTATGTTTGGTTTTAAAGTTCTTTGCTGGGCTCTGCTCTTTATCTTTAGAATAAAACATGCATTTCGTTAAGATTCCAATCCCAACTAGTGTAATTACTGTGGGATTGGTATTATAGTCTGATACAGTCATCCAGATACCAATGAATAAAACATGCATTTCGTCAAGATTCCAATCCCAACTAGTATAGTTACTGTGGGATTGGTATTATAGTCTGACACAGTCATCCAAATATCAAAAATTAAAACATGCATTTCGGCAAGATTCCAATCCCAACTAGTATAATTACTGTGGGATTGGTATTATAGTCTGACACAGTCATCCATTTAGAAAAAAATTAAAACATGCAATTCGGGAAAATTTCCAATCCCAACTGGTATATACTGTGGGATTGGTATTATAGTCTGATACAGTCATCCAGATACCAATAAACAAAACATGCATTTCGTTAAGATTCCAATCCCAACTAGTATAATTACTGTGGGATTGGTATTATAGTCTGATACAGTCATCCAAATATCAAAAATTAAAACATGCATTTCGGCAAGATTGCAATCCCAACTAGTATAATTACTGTGGGATTGGTATTATAGTCTGATACAGTCATCCAAATATCAAAAATTAAAACATGCATTTCGGCAAGATTGCAATCCCAACTAGTATAATTACTGTGGGATTGGTATTATAGTCTGATACAGTCATCCAAATATCAAAAATTAAAACATGCATTTCGGCAAGATTCCAATCCCAAGTAGTATAATTACTGTGGGATTGGTATTATAGTCTGATACAGTCATCCAAATATCAAAAATTAAAAAATGCATTTCGGCAAGATTCCAATCCCAACTAGTATAATTACTGTGGGATTGGTATTATAGTCTGATACAGTCATCCAGATACCAATAAATAAAACATGCATTTCGTTAAGATTCCAATCCCAACTAGTATAATTACTGTAGGATTGGTATTATAGTCTGATACAGTCATCCAGATACCAATAAATAAAACATGCATTTCGTTAAGATTCCAATCCCAACTAGTATAATTACTGTGGGATTGGTAGTATAGTCTGATACAGTCATCCAGATGCCAATAAATAAAACATGCATTTCGTTAAGATTCCAATCCCAACTAGTATAATTACTGTGGGATTGGTAATATAGTCAGATACAGTCATACAGATACCAATAAATAAAACATGCATTTCGTTAAGATTCCAATCCCAACTAGTATAATTACTGTGGGATTGGTATTATAGTCTGATACAGCCATCCAGATACCAATAAACAAAACATACATTTCGTTAAGATTCCAATCTCAACTAGTATAATTACTGTGGGATTGGTATTATAGTCTGATACAGTCATCCAGATACCAATAAATAAAACATGCATTTGGTTAAGATTCCAATCCCAACTAGCATAATTACTGTGGGATTGGTATTATAGTCTGATACAGTCATCCAGATACCAATAAATAAAAGATGCATTTTGTTAAGATTCCAATCCCAACTAGTATAATTACTGTGGGATTGGTATTATAGTCTGATACAGTCATCCAGATACCAATAAATAAAACATGCATTTCGTCAAGATTCCAATCCCAACTAGTATACTGTTACTGTGGAATTGGTATTATAGTCTGATACAGTCATCCAGATACCAATAAATAAAACATGCATTTCGTCAAGATTCCAATCCCAACTAGTATAATTACTGTGGGATTGGTATTATAGTCTGATACAGTCATCCAGATACCAATAAATAAAACATGCATTTCGTCAAGATTCCAATACCAACTAGTATACTGTAATTACTGTGGGATTGGTAGTAGTCTGATACAGTTATCCAGATATCAATAAATAAAACATGCATTTCGTTCAGATTCCAATCCCAACTAGTATAATTACTGTGGGATCGGTATTATAGTCTGATACAGTCATCCATATACCAATAAATAAAACATGCATTTCGTCAAGATTCCAATCCCAACTAGTATAATTACTGTGGGATTGGTAATATAGTTTGATACAGTCATTTAGATATCAATGAATAAAACATGCATTTCGTTAAGATTCCAATCCCAACTAGTATAATTACTGTGGTATTGGTAGTATAGTCTGATACAGTCATCCAGATACAAAAAATTAAAACATGCATTTCGTCAAGATTCCAATACCAACTAGTATACTGTAATTACTGTGGGATTGGTAGTAGTCTGATACAGTTATCCAGATATCAATAAATAAAACATGCATTTCGTTAAGATTCCAATCCCAACTAGTATAATTACTGTGGGATTGGTATTATAGTCTGATACAGTCATCCATATACCAATAAATAAAACATGCATTTCGTCAAGATTCCAATCCCAACTAGTATAATTACTGTGGGATTGGTAATATAGTCTGATACAGTCATTCAGATATCAATGAATAAAACATGCATTTCGTTAAGATTCCAATCCCAACTAGTATAATTACTGTGGGATTGGTAGTATAGTCTGATACAGTCATCCAGATACCAATAACTAAAACATGCATTTCGTTAAGATTCCAATCCCAACTAGTATAATTACTGTGGGATTGGTAATATAGTCAGATACAGTCAAACAGATACCAATAAATAAAACATGCATTTCGTTAAGATTCCAATCCCAACTAGTATAATTACTGTGGGATTGGTATTATAGTCTGTTACAGTCATCCAGATATCAATGAATAAAACATGCATTTCGTTAAGATTCCAATCCCAACTAGTATAATTACTGTGGGATTGGTAATATAGTCAGATACAGTCATACAGATACCAATAAATAAAACATGCATTTCGTTAAGATTCCAATACCAACTAGTATAATTACTGTGGGATTGGTATTATAGTCTGATACAGTCATCCAGATACCAATAAACAAAACATGCATTTCGTTAAGATTCCAATCTCAACTAGTATAATTACTGTGGGATTGGTATTATAGTCTGATACAGTCATCCAGATACCAATAAACAAAACATGCATTTCGTTAAGATTCCAATCTCAACTAGTATAATTACTGTGGGATTGGTATTATAGTCTGATACAGTCATCCAGATACCAATAAATAAAACATGCATTTCGTCAAGATTCCAATCCCAACTAGTATAATTACTGTGGGATTGGTATTATAGTCTGATACAGTCATCCATATACCAATAAATAAAACATGCATTTCGTCAAGATTCCAATCCCAACTAGTATAATTACTGTGGGATTGGTAATATAGTCTGATACAGTCATTCAGATATCAATGAATAAAACATGCATTTCGTTAAGATTCCAATCCCAACTAGTATAATTACTGTGGGATTGGTATTATAGTCTGATACAGTCATCCAGATACCAATAAATAAAACATGCATTTCAATAAGGGCCAATAAGATTCCAACTATTTTTTTTTGTTTTTATTAGCTTCGTGTCTTAGTTTTTATTAGTCTTCGTGTTAGCTTCTATGTCATATACTGTCAACCAGATATTAGAAATTAAAACATGCACTTCAATAAGATCCCAATCCCAACTAGTATAATTACTGTTGGATTGGAACTACTCGGTCCTTTATATATTATTAACTGCAACATGCATTTCGGCAAGATTCCAATCCCTACTATAGAGTCAATACTATTGTGTCCTCTATATATCAATAACTTCAACATGCATTTCGACAAGATTCCAATCCCAACTAGTATAAATACTGTGTCTGTGGGTTTGGAATTATAACCTGATCCTGTCTTCCAGATGTCAAAATAAAAGATGCATTTCCCCAAGATTCCAATCTCATAGTAGTTATACTTGTAGACATTGGAATCTCGCTGAATTTCAATGCATGTTTTATTTACTTATTTATTTATATAGAGGTGGGGATGACATTATATATATATCAAATATCTCAGTAATTATACTAGTTCGGATTGGAATCTTGCCAAAATGTACGTTATTTTTTTATATCTGTATGACAGGATCAATTTCCAATTCCACAGACCCCTGTAGTTATGTAAAAAAATAGGTACGCGCTGCGTACATGTGGGTAGCCTGCATTAATTGTTGTTAAAGCTGTTTAAGCTGGAGTAATACGCGCAACAAAATTCCTGCAACAAAATTGCTGCAACAAAATTGCTGCAACAAAATTTCTGGAACAAAAGCTGATTTCAACGCATTTTAAGTAGAAATGTTGACAAAACATTTCAATTAACATGCGCAGAAATCAGATTTTGTTGCAAGTTGCAGCAATTTTGTTGCCCAGCCCATATTAGTATATTACTCCACCTTAATTGCTATTGTCATATTCCGAACTTACTGAAAGAAAGTATTAAGTAAATTGAACACAATTCAAAGATTATACACACATTTAATCACATACTGAACATCAGATATGACAAAAATACGTAAACGACTGTTACGTGCATTTTTCAATAAGCATAAACAGATATAAGAAGTTACAACTTACAAAGTATTTCAATGTGTCAAAAATAATTTGCACACTGAACAGTACAAGGTCGATCAGCTTTAATATGTATACGAAACAAAATACTTCACACGCCGAAATACAGACAGTACGAAAAACACTTAAGACAAGAACAGTAACAGTTCTTGTTCAAGGACAGCACACATCAAAGACAAAGGATCAGGTTTACAGGCTGCGTATATACAATTTTCGTGAAGTTTGAGTTTCAAGGATAGTCCATGCAAAGATCTAAGGACGATGTTTTCCGGCGGAGTTGAAAAAGATAAACATATTCTTTATTTAGTGATGATTGAATTAATTAAACAACGACATATTCGATCACATATGTATATTGGTAATGACATTCAACTTGCTTTCAATATTCGACAAATATATCCCAAAGACTTCGTGTGCTAATATTCCACTGCCTAATCCTTGTGTAAACCATGCTTGGCTTTCTATTTGCCTTAACCTACACATTCGACGGCCCTTCGACTAACCCGATTCCAATGACGTCATTGACGTGGCCTTACAAACATTTATATGTAAGCAACGACATACTTGATTCTATATGCCTATATGTTAGTCAACATTACTTCGATATAAACTAACGTAAATATATACAATCGTCGCGCGCTATATCATTAATTACTATATTTTTCTAATACGTATAAAATGTTTGATCAAACTGATATATCGTGTTTAAATATGACATTACACGATATAAAACAGACCCCGTGGCTAATATTAACCCCAATGACCCTTGTACAAGCTGTGATTATAAAAACAACGACATATTCGATTCTATATGCGTTGGAAATGACTATCGACCTGACAAAACACATTACAATAAAAACTTTATTAAGAATTTATACACATCTCTGTACAGTATGAGCGTTAGTGAACGTAGCCTGTGGTCTATAGACGGTTCGTATTCCAACTTCCAAGGATAAAAGGAACTGCGCAGCAGGACACCGCGGACACGAAGGCTACAGAGCCACAGAGAAACAGAGCCACGGAAGATCGCGCTTCAGTCTCTCACATAGTGGTTAGCTGTGCATCCGCGGCTACGCACAAAAAACCCTGCATTTTGGCGTGATTTTGGTAAGATCCCAATCTCAATTAGTATAATAACTGCGGGATTTCAGAACCATCCTCAGAGATAGGAAAAACTAGTCACGAAAATATTTCGTGCACTTAAATTGGATAAGACTCGCTACCAATCCCTGTTGACTCGATAGCTCAATGGGTAGAGCGGCGGTCTAGATACCCGAAGATGCGAGTTCAAATCCCGCTCGAGCCAACGAATTTTTCGTTGTTCGATTGCAGTGTCAGATTAATATGAAACTGCGGGATTGGTATTATAGTTTGGTCCTAAAACACGCATTTTGGCAAGATTCCGACCAATTCCAACTAATTCCAACTGATACTGTCGCGGATTGAAATTATAATGATTTTAAAAGACCAGTTCATTAACAAATAACAAAATTCAAATTGTGACGGAAATCAGTTAACAAATCAACTGATAAGCATTACTCACAATTAAGTGTCGTGCGTCGTTCGTATAAGTCGTGGGTCGAAAAATGCTCTAAACTGCTTTTGCTAAAATAATTTCTGTTTTAGCAAAACGCGTGTAAGCGATCAAATGCCCAACTGAATATTTACCGAAATTTTTCATATCGTGGCAAGTGACTAAAGGAATGTTGTGACGCAATTCCATATTACGTCTATTTCACCAGTAATTCATACTTTTTTAGTCATTAGACATTATCCCTCATTTTTCTTTGCATAGCTGTTGAAATTTTTATCTAAGGGCACTTTCACCCTTTACTAAAGGGCAAGAGTGCCCCCCCTGTTCCCCCACCTTTCCGGCGTTCCTGCTCCCAGTCATGAGTATAATAATTATATATATCGCACACATATTAAATAATGGAACTCACTTTAATATAAGGTCTCAAAATTTGAACACTTTTTTCTCTATACCAAATAACTCGCTAAGCATCGTTGTGTAACAGCCAGTTTTGTACACAGCAAGCCGTGTTAAATCAAATAGTTGAGTTTCCTAAAAAACCCAAAACAATGTGCTAACGCAACGAAATTTCACACTCCATTTTTTTATGATTGCATAATTAGCTTGATCCATAAATATTTGTTTTATTTTATAAATCATCACAAAAACTCGATAAATCGCATTGGTCCTTTCACAGGTTATATACTTATAATTCATATCGAAAAAATTGTTTAAGTTTTGAGACAGGCTGTAAACATGCAGCTTATGGAATCACAAATCCTTAAACAAAATGTTAAGATCTGTGGAATTGAATCCGCCGGCATGAAATCCAACCCGTGCCAATGGTTCGAAGCTATATTATCACCAAAGCCAACGTGATTTTTTATGCCGTGTATTTATTTTAAAACAAAGTAAGGCAATCCCCGACAATATTGATCTTTACTTGAAGTTGAGCTTTCCGTCCAGTGGAATGCCATTTGCTACTGTCCTGAAACGAATTTATAACTTCAATGATAAGTAGAGCAAAAATCGATTCAAAGCAGCTAAAATATGAACATTGTGTCGGATTACTAGATGTTTATGCATGTTTTTTGTTGGATTTTTGAGTCGGATTACTAGGTGTTTATATGATATTATATATCTCAATATATCTTATAATTATATATAATTATAAGATAATTATATATAATTATAATATATAATTATAATTATAATGATATTATATATCTTATATATCTTATTATTATATATCTTATTATCGGATTACTATGGTGTTTATATGATATTATATGGTGTTTATATGATATTATATATATGTTTATATGATATTATTTATATGATAGATATATATATATATATATATATATATATATGGTGTTTATTTTGATATTTATGGTGTTTTTATGGATTATTATGGTGTTTTAGGCAATGTAATTAAAGTTTCTTTTAATTACGTCACAAGAGCCCTTTAGTTACTTGTCGCCTGGCCATATCATGCTGCGTTCTTGACTTTAGTTCGAAGTTCGAACGCATAATATGAAAAATTTCGGTTAAATATTCAGTTGGGCATTTGATCGCTAACACGCGTTTAGCTAAAACAGAAATTATTTTAGCAAAACCAGTGTCTGAGCGAAAAAATAGAAACTTACAGCATTTCTCGACCCACGACTTTCACGCACGACGTTTTACCCACGACGCACGACACATGACCAAAACTCATACACTCATATTACACCATAAAGCTTTCGCGCGGATTATATTTCGCGGCGAAATTTAATACAAGTGCATGAGCTATTATGGATGACTGTATCAGACTATAATACCAATCCCACAGAACTTGTACTAGTTGGGACTGGTATCTTAACGAAATGCATGTTTTATTCATCCAAACCCACAGTAATTATACTAGTTGGGATTGGAATCTTAACGAAAGCATGTTTTATTCATTGATATCTGTATGACTCAATGACTGTATCTGACTATAATACCAATCCCACAGTAATTATACTAGTTGGGATTGGAATCTTGACAAAATGCATGTTTTATTCATCGATATCTGGATGACTGTTTTAGACTACAATACCAGAGGGTCCTGAAGGGGGGGGGGGGTCCCAATCCCATTTCCCACCTGAAATTTTGGCAAAATCCCAGTCCCAGTTGGATTTTTATTAGAAATCCCAGTTCGACTTATTGAAATCCCACTCAACAAACAACCCTTTATTTATCGGTAGAATAAACAGTTTTAAGACCTTTTAAGCCACCCTGTGTGCAAGTGGTGGACACTTTATGAAATATCGGGGGGGGGGGGGGGGGCTCGTCCCGAACGCACAGAAAATTTTTAAATTTGAATCCCGGAAATGGCATTTGCAGCATTCTGGGACACGCATAATCAGAAAACCCAGAATTCCGGGCGCTAGACTATTCCTGTTCACAGGTAGTGCTGTGAATAATATAACTAGTTAACAACAAAAATCATGACCAAAGACACCGAAAACGGATCAAAATTGTATTTTAAAACACTTAAAATGTAGAAAAATTGGGAATCGACTTGCATTACCTCAATCCCATTCCCATTTTTGAGGACTTCATTTCCCATTCCCAGTGGCCAAATCCCAGTTCCAGCAACCCAAATCCCATTTTCCCAGTCTAAAACTAGATCAATCCCATTTCCCATTTTACCCCTTCAGGGCCCACATACCAATCCCACAGTAATTAAACTAGTTGGTTTGGAATCTTGACGAAATGCATGTTTTAATTTTTGGTATCTCAATGACTGTATCGGACTATAATACCAATCCCACAGTAATTATTCTAGTTGGGATTCGAATCTTAACGAAATGCATGTTTTATTTATTGGTATCTGGATAACTGTATCAGACTATAATACCAATCCCACAGTAATTATACTAGTTGGGATTGTAATCTTAACGAAATGCATGTTTTATTTATTGGTATCTGGATGACTGCATCAGACTATAATACCAATCCCACAGTAATTATACTAGTTGGGATTGGAATCTTAACGAAATGCATGTTTTATTTATTGGTATCTGGATGACTGTATCAGACTATAATACCAATCCCACAGTAATTATACTAGTTGGGATTCGAATCTTAACGAAATGCATGTTTTATTTATTCGTATCTGGATGACTGTATCAGACAATAATACCAATCCCATAGTAATTATACTAGTTGGGATTGGAATGTTAACGAAATGCATGTTTTATTTATTGGTATATGGATGACTGTATCAGACTATTACCAATCCCACAGTAATTATACTAGTTGGGATTGGAATCTTGCCGAAATGCATGTTTTATTTTTTTATTAATGGATGACTGTGTCAGACTATAATACCAATCCCACAGTAATTATACTAGTTGGGATTGGAATCTTAACGAAATGCATGTTTTATTTATTGGTATCCGGATGACT